AAAGCATGTTTGACGATGCAGCAGGAGAAGAAGTTCCAACAGCAATTTTTTCACACGTGTGTAAGATACATAAAGAGCATGAAAAGGAGCACTTAAGACCCCTTGTTGAAAGCTTCTTTAGAGAGCCTGCTAATTCAGAAAGGTGCCTGGAGATCAAAGATAAACAAGCAATGCCCTCGAAACCCTTGATACAAGAGGTTATCACTGAGCCCAAGGATAATCTGCTCTTGTCACCAATCTGCAGTCGACCAGATGACCCAAGCCCAGGGGAAGAGGACGGTAAGATCACAGTTACTTGCCCTGGAAGATTATAGTGACATAATTAATCACAGGGAAAAGGTGGGTGGCACATACACACTAAAAGTAAGGATTTGACCAGCTCTTGTTGAAAAAATTTTCGGTCCACTGTTAACAATCACCTCTTCCTTTTATTTATGTGGAAATCCTAATAAACTAGGAATTAAAATGTTATTTTCTCTTTTTCTACACAGAAGTTCTTGCTGAGTTTTGCTTAAATGGTTTTAAAAAATTAGGCTCTACATTTCTTTTTCCAGTATTAAAGACCACCAGTGAGTTTCATTTGCCTTTTGCCTTCATGCTTTTAACAGGGAACGGCAGCGATGGGGAAGTACAGCACCTGGCTGAGGGTGAAGGGTGTCCTCACGGAGCACAAGATGACGAGGACAGTGAGAGTGGGTTAGATTAATCACTTTGAAAAAAACCAGACCAAACCTGGAGCAGAGTGCCTGGCTGACTGCATGCGGTTGTTCTCAAAATGCAGAGTTCAGCAACGGAGCCGTTAGTTAAAACTGACATAACAGTTACTGTGACATAAAAACCACCGCCTCCAACAGCAGGACTTGGTGTTTCAGTCAGTCAGAGGCTGCTGCGGCCTCCAGCGTCTGACCTTCAGGGCAGAACTTTTGTTTGTGTCATAATCCCCCGTAACCCGCAGGTGGTGAGCGCCTTGTGTTCCCACTGCCAATGCTGCTGGAGACCCCTCGGCTCCGGGCTCTTCAGGGCAGCTGGCAGCGTTCACTACTTTTGAAGTGAGGGCACTACTGTTTTAAGGTTAAATTCCACTCTCTTATGTCATTTTTTTCTCTTACATCCTTCTAGAAATTACTCAGTTAACTGTTTATATCTTAGGGTTTCGTTACATATATAGTTTCAATCCATAATGTAACATGTTTCTGCCATTTGAACTAAATAAAGATTCTACTTGTAACCAAATCTATTTTTAACTTGTATCATCTCCTTACCAGTACATGTCATACCGGAAGGACTTCAATGACAAATGGAGATTGCTTCTTAACATGGTATGTTACGGATCTGATATTCATAGACATTATGATTGTTTACGCAAAAACAGATGCAGAAATAGCATCCATGCATGAAAAATCTGGTTTTACCTTTTAGGGCAATCTGTGATGAAGCATATACTTAGATCTGCCATTTCCATAATCTTTCCTTGTGATATACTTCTCAGGATCCAGATTTCAAATATAACAGAAAAATAACCAGCCAGTCAGCAGGGGCAGAAAGACAGCTGTGGTGTAAAAGGCCGACCAAAGGAATTCCTCTTTCATTAGCTTCTCTCTTGCATCACAGTGGTAGTCTTGTGCCAAAGTGAAATGGAAGGTAACAGCAGCAATGCATCAGCCAGGTTCTCTTCTTCCCCTCCCTTTTTTTTTTTGCCTTCTCCCCCTTTTGAGCTAGAGAATACAATTCAAGGGAGCAGAGATTGCTTGAGAGCAGCGTTTCCTCTGCGATACCGCAAAAAAAGAGTGGGGGAAATGGACAACTCTTGGCCAATTCTGCTGAGGCATTAACGGCTCTCATTTTCCTAACACAGAAGCGGCTGTGCTAGTCAGTTAAAAAAATAATTGTACACTGTTTAAGTACAACATAAAAAGAGTTGGCCTCATCTTCAAGGGCTGACGTTGGTTTTATGATACAACGAACAATCACAACATCAGGAATAAGCTAGGCTTTAAGTGACCTCACTTCATTATGCCATACCCAAGTTTAGGTGTATGTCTTTTTTCATATTTCTATAAATCTTTAATAAGTTGTAATAAATAGAATTGAACAGATCTTGTAGATGTGCACATTTAAAGAAAAAAAATATTACTATGGTCTTGTGGAAAAGATTTATTTCCAATTAGCTGGGCTTAGGTGCCATCTGGTGGTAAGAGAACTGGTCCTAACCATAACACAAAATAATCGTACAAGCCTTCAGGGAAGACAACACGATTGCTTTAACCTTCAGCCATTTTCCACCTTCCATCAGTAAAAACACGCTGGTAAAACCCTTGGCCCCCAGGAAAGAGCAGGAGGACGAGCAAGGGCCTGTGGAGAACAGGCTCGTCTGAAAGCATCTTCACAGGGATCTTCTCTTTAGAACGCTGCAAATGCTGCCAACAACATTTGTGTCCTAAAAAATACCTGACAGAAAGCTGGATAAGGTCTACTCTGAGGGCTTCGGTTGTGCATTTTTTGTGCTGTGTTTTAGTGCCTGTCCTGGTACCCCCTTATTACACTAAGAACAAATAAGCAGGAAGGACCATATTATCAAGCCACACTTAAAAAAGAAAAAACATTTATAAACAAAAGATTTTTAAAAGTAATTCCAAGAGTGAAGGTCGAGTTCTCTTATCACTGAAAGCAAGTAATTTCAAGAACTATAGATTCTTTTACTCTGATCCTGATTTTACCAGATATAACCACCTTGACCGGCATTTTGATTTGAGGAATTTAGAGCTGTGTTTACTTCGCCACATTTTACATGCTAGATCTCTCCAGCTCCTGTTTTTTCACACAGACAATCACAACCCATCAGTGGGCCCTACGTTATCTCACAGGTGAATCTCCTGAACTCCTGGAAGCTGTTTTCACTTGTCGGTGAGGATTTGGGAAGGAGGAAAGGAGTAAGGGGTCGGCGAAAGTACTGAGAGAAATGCCAGAGCAGGACTAAATGAGAAAAAGGAAACATATTTAATTAGAGTTTTCTGTAAAACTTTACAAATGTACAGCATAGTGCAAAAACGCAGTCTCAGCACATCACCTTCAAGTAAAATTAACAATGTAAAAAGCCAAGGAACACAAGCTTGCTTCTTCACAGGAGTGGCTCTCGAATACTGTTCCTGGAGGTTCCTCTCTCACCATCAAGATCCGATCTCACCTTTATAGTAGAGCAAAAAGCCTAAAGAAAAACCCAAGAACCATCCCGAGCGGCTGCTCACAGCGAGGGCAGTCTGCCGCTTCGCTCATAAAAATGCTGCGGCCTGAGATGGTGCCAGGCACCCTTGTTGGTTGAGCTGCACCTTTGTCTACTTGCAAGTAGCTCTCCTGAGACGGTTCGTTTCTCAACCCCAGCTAGACAATCCAGTAAGACACTGAAGCATATGTCTAACCTCAAGCATGTGATAGGCTTCATAAAAATACAGGAAAACTACTCAGGAGCTTGAAGTTAAGCACATGCTTAAATACCTTATTGGATCAATACATTCAGCGTTAACATTAAGGCAATCCAGTGTGTGAAGGTTCAGAGAAGGATGTAAATCTTGAACGGGGATAACATACGCTGTCAGGTGATACGAGACACCAGACAGTTTTCAACTACCTATGAGAAAAGAAGTACACAGAGTGCAACTCAACGACTTCCCATCGCTGGAAATGACAAAGTACAGTGGCAAATGGGCTGATCGTGGTGAACTTTCTAAGCACAAATCTGTCAAAAAGGAAAACCTTGTTCATGATACACTCAAGCACATCATCTAAATACCAGGCCAATGGGGGCTGCCAGACTTTTCCCTTAGTCCTGAACACGAAAACAGTGGCTGGAATTAATTCAGAAGCTCTCACAACCTCGCTCCTGCAAAGACTGCACCACCAAGGTGGTGACGGAGCTCCCAGCACACAGTAGTTAGCTGGGGAAAAATGTGCTCAAAAGTGAATGTTTCTGAACTAACACATCTGTTCACATACTGATAAATGGATGGAGGAAAGGGCTGTGACAGGAAGGTCCATCTAAAATATGCTTGTCTTGTTAAGGCGAATTTGAGCCTGCATTCATCCGATTGATTGGTTACATTTTGGGGTGGATGCTGCTTGACTATTTGAGATGCTCAGAAATACGGTTTAGAACCAAGAATCGTCATGGCAATGAAAGCAGGCAGAGCATTTCTTCAAATGATGCTGGCATAGCATCAATGTACCTCCCTGTCTAAGCCCTTGGGAGGCCTGAGTTAGCTGAATTTCCTGGGTCTGTCTTACTGCATTTGGGTAGCTTTCCCAAGGAAAAGCAACTCAATTAGAGGATACCGAGATAAATAATACGTTCTCATTAGAACTACAGCATAAAAAACAAAGCTCTGCTTTGTTGAGAAACTCAGTTGTCAGAAACCACGTGGAAGAGGAAGATTAATTCAACCTTTGGAGGCTGGTCTCAGATGCACAAAAGACAGAAGAAAATTTAGTGAGACATGGTGGACTAACTAACCCTTCTGCCTCTCTCCTACACTGGGCAGCTGAGAGCCCTTCTAAAAAAGGGATCCAATCAATTAAACTGGTTCATCAGATTTTATAAATCAATACACCAACAGGCACATCTTCAGGGGAAATAGAACAGGTCAAGGCCAAGGAAAAAAGTCATTGGACTGGACATGGAATACTTAGCCAGCACCAAAACCCAGAGTGCGCTCTCTTAGTCCTCTTTGCAAACGGAAAATTGTGTGTGCAGAAGAGTCTATCCCTTCTTTTTTTTTTTTAAATGTATGGGGTGCCCCGCCTTTATGTTAGAGAAAATAAATTGGGGAAAAAACCCAAAACAAACAACAAAACCGCTGAATACAGCATGGGATGTTGTGAGGTCTGTGATGGTCTGTATCTCCCCTAAGAGCCAGAGACACGTTCTTGGAGTGGTCACTCAGAAAACGATCTTCTGCACACCCCGAGAGATATTAATTTTCCTACTCACCCTAGGAGGATAAGGGAGAGGCACAAGTACGTCCCATCAAAAACCGAAGATGGATAAAAGAATATTTTTAGAGCATTGGAGCGGCATATAGAACTATTTTCCTATTTAAAAAACAGCAGCCAGAAGGATCATGCATCTTAGCTAATCTGTGCTGCCCCAATAAAATCCCACAGTTTGCCGTTGCAGACACTAGTCAGGATCACTTTATTTTATGAAGACCCTGATGTACTTTCAAGCTATTCTTCACTTAAATTTTATTAGAACATTTGAAATTTCTAAAAGCATTTTCAAGAAAGAAAAATCCTGCCAAGTTCTCACTCCCCACAGGAGCAAGCGCCAGAAACAGCATTTTGTTTTAAAATGGTTATCCTGAGCAAACACTGGAATCCAGGTGCAGGGAGGGTAATGCAACAGCTACTGACCATTTCCATCTACTCAAAAAGAAAGGGCACAAAAAGAAACTCTCTTGTGGGTTTCTGAGTCACTTTTGTTTCTTTACATTCAAACCTGTGGATGCTTGGATGGGTGGGAGGGAGATGATATTCCTTGGAAGGTAAATCACTGGTTGTTGTCAGTGGAAGAGCTCAGGTTTAATGGGATATCCCCCTGGACACCCCCAGAGGACAGGTAGGAAGCCATATTTTCAGATGGAACATAAAGCGATGAACTTTCAGGCAAGCTGATGAGGTCGTTTCCAAAGATTGACTGACGATCAATGAGGAACT